GCATACCCATGCCTGAGAACCACGAGGCTAGAGACTGGAGGGAGGACAGAAATAGACACCGATCCCTACAATACCATATGGTGGGTTACCCCCGCCTGTACACTCCTCCCTGCACAGCTGGGAGCTCCCCCCCTTCCATCATCCTCTCAGTCTTTTGTAGGTATTATTACTGGATACCATGACTCTAGGTACCGTTTTATGGATGAGGGAACTGAAGCTGGAGAAGTTAAGTAACTTAAGGCCACGCAGCTCTGTGTACCGCATGCTAACCTCTAAGCCTGGCATCTCTGGGCATGGCTGATGTGTTGTTCAGGGCCGCGGTCCGGCTCCAGCCTGTCTCTCAGTCATCATCTGCTGATCTGTGGTCACTTCCCCTCAATCACAAAGGGCTTATCTGCCCTGGGTCCCAGTGGCAGATAAGCCTCTCAGCCTCTCCTCCCTTTCTACCTTCATCTTCATCTGGAGGTCCACCTTACCCACAGAGTCCGTTATTCCTGACAATGGAACGATGTGGGAGTGAGGCAGGAGAAAAGGGTGTGGAGGCAGGGAACCTAAGGCAGTTTCACGCTGACTTCCTAGAACTAAATAGAAAGGAAAACCCTCACTTTCCAGGCCTAAGTAACAAAAGGACCAAAGGCTACTCCCTTTGACATTTTCTGCACAGTAGATGGGAAATTGGCTGTCTACAACTAATCAGACTGATTGCAGGTGTCTTCCTTTGCAACTTTGCAACTTTAGCCTCTGAATGGCTGCTGTCCACAAGTCTTCATTTGCATAGAAATATAACTTTGTAACTTTCTTCTAGCTTCTGATTGGTTGCCTTTTGCAAGCAATCGGATATTTGCTTTTTGCAACCAATCAGATATTTGCACAGGAGCGCAGCCTTTGTAACTTCAGTTCAGCCTCTGGTCGGCTGCTTTCTGCAACCAATCAGCCTGATTGCAGGCCACCACTTCATTCACACAAGGTGAGCATGAAGTCTTCATTCACACAAGGTGAGCATGAAGTCTTCATTCACACAAGGTGAGCATGAAGTCTTCATTCACACAAGGTGAGCATGAAGTCTTCATTCACACAAGGTGAGCATGAAGTCTTCATTCACACAAGGTGAGCATGAAGTCTTCATTCACATAAGGCGAGCATGAAGCGGCCAATGGGAAACCTCTAGCGGGTATTTGGACCCAAGAAGATTCTACGTCTGGGCCCTTGAGCCGCTGCTCAGGTCTGCCCCAACACTGCGGAGTGTACTTTCGTCTTCAATAAATCCCTGGTTTTGTTCTTTTGTTGCTCACCTCTTTGCTTTGCTGAGCGGTTTGTCCAATTCTTTGTTCAAAACTCCAAGAACGTGGACAACTTGCAGTCATGTCCTTCTACTGCTGACAGGAGGGCCTTCTCTCCGACCCTAGGCACGGTCACCCCCTCCAGCTGTTGTGCCCTGAAGCCGTCCCTGCCTTTCCTGATGTCAGCCTCCGCATGCCTCCACACCATTCCAGGCCCTCCGGGCTTTCTCTTCAAACCCTCTTTCGACACCTCCAGACACCTCCAGCTGCAGTGCCTCCTTGCGCTTCTAGCCGGTCTGCCAGCCTCCTGCACGGCTACACCTGACGGCTGGGCTCCACTCGCAGAACCACGCGCCAGGCACACTGGGGCCCAGACCCGTGTGCAGAGTCCAATACGCCGTGTGCTCAGCGCTACCTCTCCACGTCTCCTCTGTCTCTTCCTCTTGCAGAGTGATCCCACCCCTGCACCGGGCTGCCCTCGCCTCTAGCCCATCTGGCCCCGGCCCTCTCCGCAGCGGACCTGCAGCGGGTTTCTGGATGACCAAGGCCCCGCTCCGGACCCGGAGCGCGCTGCTGCCCTCTACCTGTCACCCGCGCGGCGGGACAAGGTGTCAGGAGCGGCGCCGGCGACCAGGGCTCTGCCGTAGTCCGGGGTGGGGGCGGCAGCACCCTGGAGCACCACTGGGCGGGGAAGCTGGGGCCAGGCAGGTGTGATTGGGCCCCAGGCAGCTCACACTCAGGCTAATGCGGTCAGAGAGGGAGGGCAGCTCACTTGTACAAACATGAGTGCAAAACGCACTCCACCGCCAGGAACAGGCAGTCCGTTCATGCGAGCAAAATGGAAAGCGAGCTCCCACCCACGTTTTTCCTCAGACCCATCACAGGCCTGAGCAGCAACAATCATTAGCATCGGGGATTAGCACAGCGGGGTAAAAGTCTGACAACTGACTACTGTTCTCTAAAGAGGGCTCAGAGAATCAGCACGTGAGGTTTCTGCGCACTGCAGAATGGTTGATTTATTTACTGACGCTCGGTGGTCTCGTTAGGTCTGTTTGCCTCTCTAGGTCTTTCTGATTCCGTAATACAAAGCACATCTATTAAGTGCAGCCTAAATTTCCCTTTTATGGTGTACTTTTATGTGCAGTCTTTGTTCGATTAGCAATGAGTGGGGGTCGGGGATACCCTGAGAGACTGTCAAATGCCCTGCCAAATTCCTAGAGTTTCTAGAAAAGGGTAACCCTGTCAGGTTGGAAACAAGCTGAGTCCTCTGTGACTCGCCGTTCAGAAACACAGGCTGCGAGACAGGGATCCCGGATGGTTCCACAGGGCTGCAGACCACCTACTAAATCTCTTCTAGAAACGGGTGCACAGTTGCTGTCAAGCTCACTGGTTTGTGCTTTAAAAGCCCACCTGTGGCCTATTTTGTGAATCAGAATATCGTTCTGGAAGCCAGGTATTGTTTGGTTCTCTTTGGTTCACCATGTTACCAGCACCTAGAATATAGGTTGGCAAACATCTGCTGAATGAATGAATTTGCTCACATCCTGCCTGATGCCTGCCTCCCTCTTCATGGGCCTGCAGAAAAGGCTGCCAGGTGCAGAGTTCTCTGGGTTGCTTGGATGGGCTGGTCTGAGAAGGACTTGGGCAGATTCAGAACAGCCCCATGTCACTTGCTTGCTTCTTCCTCTCCTACCTGGGTCATCACTTCTCTCCTGCCAGGGAGTGGTTATCTGCTAGTATTATACCACTGTGCCATCTGCTTCTGAGAATGAGTTTGTTGCTTCCTTCTTCCTGATCTGAACAGAGCTTAAAAACCAGTTTGCATATTTGTAGCATTTCCCCCAAGTTCGGAGCATTTACGGCTACAGCGTTTCTGAGACCCTTCTCACTGCTCAGACACTGCCTCATAGTCGTCTTTGCTCATGGACCTTTATTTCTGCCTTCAGTGTATATATCCTTTAAATCGAACCAGGAGGGTGAGGTCTTACTGGTCTTTTAATTCCCAGCTGGGAGAATCCTCAAGCAGGGCATCACAGAACTGGCAGCCAGTTCTGTGAATTTCACATCAGGATGCCTCCAGCATCCATTCCCCTTCTTCCACTGCTGGGCTGCAAGGCTCCACTGCCTCCTCTCTAGATGTGGAAGAGACCACCTCGCTGGTCTCCCAGAGTAAGCCCGACCCTGACACTCATCCCTCACTTGCTATCTGCGGGGCCTTCCTACGGCATGGCTCTGATCAGAAGTCTACACTGGCTCCTCATGTCCATATCACTCAAACTCTTCAGGATGACCTCAGGGTCCCTACCACAGACCCTAAGTGAATTCTGGAATGGCTGACTAGAGAGGCCCTCAGTGCTTGAACCCTCTCATTTTACAGAGGGGGAAACTCCAGCCACCCTGCCTTCCTGGCTGTGTCTACACTGCATCCCATCACTGGAGATCTAACTTGCCATTCTCAGAATCTGACCCTGAACCTGAGCTCTCAGCTTGGGCTGGTCCGGGAACTTGGAATACTCATGCATGTCTCATCTACTCATCCCATTCCAACTCACCTGTCAAAGGCCACCTCAGAGGCCACTTCTTCCATCAGACAGTCCTAACAGTTCTACATGTACTGATTTCTTTTTGTTTTGAGGCAAAGTCTTGCTCTGTTGCCCAGGTTGGAGTACTGTGGTGTGATCAGGGCTTACTGCAACCATGAACCCCTGGGCTCAATTGATGCTCCCACCTCAGCTTCCCAAGTAGTTGGGACTACTGGCTTGCACCACTGTGCCATGCCCAACTAATTTGTGTGTGTGTGTGTGTGTGTGTGTGTAGTAGAGAAAGGGTTTCACCATGTTGCCCAGGCTAGTCTCGAACTCCTGGGATCCAGCGATTTACATGCCTTGGCCTCCCAAAGTGCTGGGATTACAGGTGTAAGCCACTGCACCTGGCCTACATGCACTCTTTAACTCCCTCCCTTGATGTTCTGGGTACATGTCCATCATGGCATTTTTATTAAATTATGCCTTCTCCACTAGATTGTAAGTCTGGAGGGGCAGGCACTCTTTTTTTTTTTTTTTTTTTTTTTTTGAGATGGAGTCTTGCTCTGTCACCCAGGCTGGAGTGCAGTGGCACAATCTCAGTTCACTGCAACCTCCGCCTTCTGGGTTCAAGAAATTCTCCTGCCTGAGCCTCCCCAGTAGCTGGGACTACAGGTGCACGCCACCATGCCCGGCTGATTTTTTGTATTTTAGTAGAGACAGGGTTTCCTCATGTTCCCCAGGCTGGTCTCGATCCCCCTGTAGAACTTGGCACAACTTAAGTACCCCAGCAATATTTTTCCCTATTAATATTTTGAAGATATGACTGGGCATGGTGGCTCATGCCTGTAATCCCAGAATTTTGGGATGCTGAGGTGGGTAAATTGCTTGAGCTCAGGAGTTCAACACCTCCCTGGACCACATACTGAGACCTTGTCTTTACAAAAAATAGAAAAATTAGCCAGGTGTACTGGTGTGTACCTGTAGTTCAAGCCATCTGGGAGTCTGAGGCAGGAGGATCCCTTGGGCCTAGGAGTTCAAGGCTGCAGTGAGCTATGATCACACTGCTGTATTCCAGCCTGGGCAACAGAGAGACCCTATCTCAAATACACATGTGTATGTATATTTGTACTATGTATGTACCATACACACAGACAGACAGACACACACATGATACTTTTTTACCAGAAGAACTTACCTCCTTGAGCTAGCAGAATAGACTTCTAATGTGTTCTTATTCTAGGGGCAGAGGGTCCCCTGGTTGTTTAAAGACTTCAGTTCCTGAGACTAGGAATCTCATCACAGTGATAGTAGTCAGTATTTTAGTTTTTGGTAAGTCAGGAGAAAGAGCTTTTTGTTTTCCTAAGGGAGAATAAAAAAACTAATTAAGAAGAAACAAAAAATATTACACAGATATTTTTCTGTGCCATACAGCAGTTTTCTTGTGGAAGAACTGAAATCTTGCTGTGTATCTCTACTAAACAGAATTTTAATTGGAAAAGATCAAGACCATCTTATAAATCAAGGTGTATAGAACACCAAGGCTGAAGGGATCTTGAGAAATCTCTGGCCCAGCCTCTTGTTCAGAAGGTTGATGTCTAAGCCATTCAATTCCTCTGGGACCTAAAGATCTCTTTCATGACATTTCTGGGGTCATTTGGTTTCCAAGGACTCGAGCACAAGGATGAGGACAATTCCACTGTCACTATTATCCAGTGAGCAGAAAACTTCCAGACAAAAGATCTTGTGGATCTCTAGGGACAAATAGAACTAAGGTCACCATCAGAGTGAGACATTTCTAAGCAGTACCTCTAGATAAATTATGGCTGTGTTAGAAGACAGTGCACAGTTATTGGATTTCAGATTTCGGATGAACGATGTCCTGAAAGTTGAAGAGTTGACTTACAGTGCTTTTCATTATTTTATAGATGATGAACTCAGAGAGGTTAAGCACTTGCCTAAGGTCTCACATTTATTACATTGTGGAGCTCGAATTTGAATCCAGCTGCAAACTTAGTTGTCACTGTGACCTTTAAACAAAATCAAAACGGAATATGCTGCAAAACATCCGCAGAGCCTCAAAGCGAGCTCAGAACCTGAAACTCCCCGAGACCTCCTTGAAATGGTGATTCTGATTCATCAGGGTTGGGGCTGAGGGACTTGAGAGTCTGCATTTCTAACGAGCTCCCAGGTGCTGCTGCTGCTGCTGCTGGTGGTCCACTGACCACACTGTCAGCAGTGAGGACCTAAGAGCCTGTAATTCGTCTCCCTGCTCACTACCCCCATGCCCACGTGAACTGCCTCATTCTCCCAGGGTGAGGCATGACCGGGATGCTGCATGATCGGTTTTGAGAAGGGGCTGTATTAATACATTCGCCGCATCGCTCCCGCCCCGGAATTTTTCTCAGCGCTTAAGGGTGAAGAGAGTACCCCCCAAAAAATTCATGTGAGGCTTTGAGAAGTGGGGATGGACGGGTCATATCGCTTTCCTAGGAGCTAAGGAAACAGGATAGCTTGGGTGGACTTCTCTGGTTTCAGGAGAGGCGCTTTCCCTGGAGACCAGCAGGGGGCGCAAAAGGGGCGGGGACCGAGGGGAGGAGCCCGCGGAGCCGCGGCGGGAGAACCCGCAGGGCGGGGAGGGGCTGCCGGGTCCGCGCGGAGGTTCCCACTGCTTGCGCAATAGAGCGCTTTTGGACATTGCAACGACAGCTAAATTTGTAGCTGGATTCAAATCCTAGCTCCACAGTATAGTAGGTGTGTGAGCTTGGGCAAGTGCTGAACCTCTCTGAGCATCAGTTTACTGCCTATAAAATCGCAGCAATAATCGTTTCTACCTCCCCAGCTCTCCGCTACCCACCCCGGCAGTAACAGTCTGCAAGGACCCTCCAGTGCCCAAACCAGAAGATCCAGCTACCCATGCTTAATACTCCGACAGCTCCTGCTTGCTGAAGTAGGCAGCCATCATTTACGCAAGGACACCTCACCAGAAACGCTTTCCCTTTAGAAGCCACTGAAGGGGAAAGTGAGAGAGGGAAAGGAAATTCTCGAGGCACTGGGGTGATTTTGTTTCTTTAGCATGAGTGAGAAATTACCTGAAAGTTTCCTGTTTTCTTTACTGTCTGTAGGTCTATGTCCCAGCCCCACAAAACAACAAAAACAGCAGCAAGCAAAGGCGCTGATATTCTGAAAACAGTTACGTTGAAAACCCACATGGTTTAGGTTCAGAATGGCTTCCCCGTTGTCTGCCCATTATAACTCTCTAGCACACAATTTTAAAGCATCTGATTGAAATAATTGTGTCTGAGTGATTATTAAAAATAACAACTAGCATAACATTTAAAATCCTCGGGAAAAGGTAGCTCGCCCAGAAAGTGAACACCCTTACCTGTCTCCAGGTTCAGACAGCGCCAATATTCTCAATTAGAAAATTAGCATCTGAGGCTCCGACATCCTCCCTGGATGCTACTCAGCTAAATCCTGCGTATTGATGGGCAAAGTCAATTGCCAGGAAAGCTGGGCAACTGTAAAGTCAGGGAGCTGGAGCAGATGAGAGTTGGGAAGTCCAATATAGCATCCCTGGAAGTAATGACAGGGACTATCTGCTAAGCACTGCAAAAATCATTTGGATTGTGATGTAAATCGGAAACAGCTGGGGTGGGGTTGGTGATCAGAGACTAGGAACCCTGTTAAACTGATCAATTAGACACAGAATGGGAACGTGAAGAGAGAGTACCAAACACTTGAGAACTGTCCTGAGAGGGATGTGTAGTCTGTGCTGGGCTAGCAAAGACATCAAGAGAAAGCTTCACAGGCAGATAAAATCCAACACACCCTGCAGATGCTGGAGACACCCCCTGATGCAAGGTGAGCCCTGAAGAGGTTGAGAAGGAAAGCGGGGGCACTCAGGACAGGATGAGGGCGCCCTGAGAGGAAGGTGGTTTCGCTGGTGTTGCCTGAGGGACAGAGCAGGGACCGGAGAGGCTGAGAGCACGCCCCTGCTGTGAAGCACAGGTCCCCACCCTGTGCCCAGAGTCCTGGGACCTGAAGGAGGTTTACTGCATGTGGAATCTGCTTGGGCAGGCTGCCCAGGGTGGCTCTGCTCCATTCTGAGTCAGGACAGGGAGTCGGCTAGTTGACTTGGCTCCAACTTGCTAGTGATGGTTACTTCCAAGATATACGAGACCATGGCAAAAGTGCCAGGCTGGGAGAGGGTAAATCTTGGTTCTGTCCTCCTTCAGCCACAGTCTGAGCATCCTAGACAAGCCTAAATTTTGTTGTCCTCAGTTTCTGCATATGTATGATGATGAGTCTGAATTGGAAGCATTTTTATATCCTTGTTAACTCTAAAGTTATCTAAGGAAACTTGCTGAGTACCGTCATGACAGCAATCACAGACCAGGGTCAATCCTCCCTGGAGCACAACAATCCTTCTTCATTCTGGCAAATTTGCAAGCCTGTTACAGAAGATCTTCAAGATACATAGTGGAAAATAATGTTATTAATGTACCAATAAAAAACGGATCTACATATATCCTAGCTTTAAACTTTTTTCCCTGCCTCAAGAAATTACTCTCAGAGAAGCTTGTGTCTGTGGCTAGATATTTTGAGATTAGAGAACTTTTCCCCACCTCTCCTTGTATTTCTGCTTTCCCAGGCTCACCTCCACCTCTGCAGCCAGCTCCCTAGTCATTGCCCCAGGGCAGGTATACGTCAGAACCCTGCCAGGAATAGCCTGCAGGTTCTTCTGGCTTTCGATTTCACAAACAAGACCTTAGGTTGGGGCCACAAAGGCTTTGCCAAGTTGGGGGAAGAGAGGTGGGGGGTACCGGTGGGCAGAAGCAGAGAGGCACGCCTCTAGAAACAGGAAGACAGGAAGGGAAAAGGGGTTTGTGGGTCCCTGGAAGACAGACTCTGGCAGGACCCCAGTGAGTTAGCTATGTGGGCTAGAAGCAGTGGGGACTTGCTAGGCAAGACAGGCACAAGAGTGCATTCAGTGGCAACCTGAGTGGACCAGATGCCGGAGCAGGAGACACCTGCATCCGTGTCCCTGGGATCGTGGCAATGCAGAAAAGATCTGAAATTGTGACACAATGGCATAACCTGGGGTGGTTTCTCTGGTTGCCAGCCAGATGAGATGAAGGCTCTAAACCAATATTAAGATGTAGAATATAGAGGAGAGGTGGTGTTTCTTGTACATCTGTGCATGCTAGAGACTCATACGCACTACCCTTTTGGTTCACAGGTTGGGAAAAAAAATAAAAAGTAGTCTTGAAACTATCTGAACTCATTTATATATCTGACCAAGATGAGGAAGAATATCAGATCACAGAAACTCAGGACTAAAAGTGGTTTTTGGTTTTACCTTTATTATGGTCTTCTGAGTTCAAATCCAGTTTCCCTGACTACGAAACGGGATGGTTATGAAGAGTAAATGAGATGGAAAATATAGCTTATATTTTCTGGTCCCTTGCAATACTTTGCATGTGGCAGATTACTTGTTGACTATCAGGCACATGCTACCATGCCCAGCTAATTTTCCTATTTTTTTGTAGAAGCGGGTCTTGCCATGTTGCCCAGGCTGGTCTCCATTTCCTGAGATCAAGAGATTTGCCCGCCTCAGCCTCCCAGAGTGCTGGGATTATAGGCATGCATCATCAGGCCTGGCCTTATTCACTATTAAAGCTAGTCAAACCCACAGTGAATCTGGGTCCAGAGAGATACCTGGTCTGGTGACTGTGGACAAGCCGTTAGTAGCTTCAGGACTTTGAATCTTGTAGTAGTGTCAGGAACATGAACATCAATCTATGGTAAAATACAAACTTACTTATCTTGAATTTGGTATAGTGGTTTACATGCACAGACCCTGAAGCCAGATATGTTGAGCTTGAATACTGGTTCACGATTTACCCCTCATAGGTACTCAGAATCATCTCTAGCTCAGAGTAAGTGCTATCTATGCATTTGCTATTATTGCTGTGATTAATTTGTGCACAGCACAAGAGAAAATGCCTGGTTAGCACTATTAGGAAGGAAAGTTGTCTGGAAGCATTTGAGGGAAGCTTATTACAGGCCAGCGAGGTGAGAACCAATTATTTCAGTGTTGCGACACCCTGTCACTGGATTTAGCAATACCATGACTTTGGCAATTCCCCAGAAAGAAAGTTCTATGTGACACTTGCAGGGGAGGAGAACAGAGGAGAGGGAGGTTTACATAAAATACAACCAATGTGAACAATATAAATATTTATCTATATTCCTTTAGCATAAATGGGCTCCTTCCCTAGTGTGATCAAGCAGACCACTCCTCCCTTCTTTCTTTTATGGTAAAAGTCCTCAGAGAAGTCGAAAATCACCACCCAACA